GTAACTGTAACGGAATACAGTTACTCATATTTTGTATTTTAAATACGTAACGGCGGTACATGTATTCCGTTACTCCCCAACACTGGTTACAGATAACTCTAGTGGAACCAAGTGTTTGCTGAAAAGGGTAAATCATTGTTGAGTGCAACTCATCAGCAGTCCTGTATTGTTGTGTCACTCTGCCGGCCCAGCTGTGAGCAGAATCTTATAAATTCACTTTTACACCCCAGGGCTGCACGTTTCTCTTCTATTACTCAAAGTGAAAGTTCCTCTATAGTTGACGGACCCTTGTGTCTTCCTTTAATGATATTATTAACTCATTCTCTATGCAGGAAACCTTGGAGGACATTGACAGGAACAGTGACGGGCATGTGGATGAGGACGAATATATCGGTGAGTTAATTCAAAAATTGAAAGCAATTGGTAAAAAAATAAAACCCATTAGCACTCAAACATCCACTCAAAACCTAACAATATACCACTCAGTGTTTTTAAAACGCACACTGACAATTTGAAGCATACAAAGACGAACAGGAATGTGAATAAGGAGCATAATATAATATTTCAACAATTTGCCTCAAACCCCTAATCACTGGAAAAAAGTGGATTTTAAAGTGTTGCAGGAGTTTGCAGGAACTTTTCAGCTCTTTTTAGAAAATACGAAATATGTGCATGTCCTCTTAATAGCATTATGTGTGCACAGTTCTTTAATTATGAATCATTTAGTGTTGATGATTTTTCTATCAGTGCACTGAAATGACAACTCTGCTGAAATAACAGGACACAGTGGATTGTATAAACTGTGATTTAGAACTCCTGATAGCGGCCTTTAAATTAACCGTGCCAGATAGGTCTCCAGTCCAGCCAACTAGATGGCTTTGCAAAGGGCAAAATTTGGGGATTCGGGGGGACTTTAAATGTCGTCCCAGTGGAGCTAATATGGTTTTCCAGCCTTATTACTAACAGACACATCACAACGTGGTTAACCCAGCGAACTGTGCTGGCAGCAGTGTTTCTAAGTATACTAAAAGGTATGTTCTGCTGGCTCCAAGTTGAAAGAAAAAGTTTGACACCACTACTTGAAATTATTCAAGCACTGTGATGTCACTGCTGACATATGGCTCAGTCTGCTGAGCATAAGTGGTATTTGTTGTAGAGCAGTTGCTATTATCTCTTTCCGGTGCTTTGTAAGCTGTTGACTCTCATCTTGTTGAAAATTCATGACGTTGAACATACTTTACAAAAAAAGGGAAACAACCATTGTCACAACACAGGAACAGAGAGCTGTATGATGTCAGGATGCATAGATTGGCATGTCATTGGTGAGAACATAAATGATCTGTTTTTTTAAACTTCACCTCCACTATAGATGGATGCTAGGGTTCAGAGCTTCAGTGTCATTAGTGTTTGCTTTGGAAAGCTTGCATGTGAAATAGTGTACATTGTGTGTATGCCATTTCTGTAGGAATTTATACCAGGAGTGTATTTAAGGTGTAAATTGTGCGTTCTCTTCAAATGCAAACTAAAAAAATGTCGAAATGTCTTATTCAAATGTTCTTTCATCATTTCTTTGGGTTTCAGCGGACATGTTTGCACATGAGGATGGTGGTCCAGAACCAGAGTGGGTCAAGACTGAGAGGGAACAGTTCTCTGACTTCCGAGACTTGAACAAAGATGGAAAAATGGACCAGGATGAAATCCGTCACTGGATCATGCCACAGGACTATGATCATGCACAGGCGGAGGCCAGACATCTGGTGTACGAGTCTGATCAGGACAAGGTATACTGTTAGAGCTATATTGATATGATTTCATATCTATTGCTTGTGCCCTTGTGGATGTGAGAGCTTGTCAACACAGGGTTCATTAGAGTCACTGGGTACGAGCTGGAACCTGTCCTAGCAGACAGAGGGCAAAAGTAAGTGTATGATCTGGACGGGCCGCCAGAGTGCAGGCACAGAGACGGCATGCAAACGAGTTGATTTTCTTTATTGGTGTATTTCGTATTTGTGTATTTTCAGTTCACACCAGAATTCTTCACTTGAGTGTTTTTCTGCTTTCGGGAGAGTGTTTTTGTTTACATTTAAATAAGAGCTTTTTTAATCATCATATTTCACACGTTCTATCTCCCTTATCAGGATCAGATGCTGACTAAAGAGGAGATCCTCGAGAATTGGAACATGTTTGTGGGAAGTCAGGCTACTAACTATGGAGAAGACCTCACCAGGAACCACGACGAGCTCTGAGCTCTCACTGCAGCTTCGTGTGCGTGTGTGCGTGTGTGTGTGTGTGTGTGTGTGTGTGTGCGAGGAGCGCTGGTCTACAAAGACACAATCACACACAGTGACAGTAAGAGTGGGACAGATGTCAGTTTGTTAGACTTCAAACCAACATTGTACCAAATGAGAGGACGCATGAGTGTCAATCCTACCACTAACTCTGTGGGTCTGTTTCAATCTTCGTATCGATGTTGTGCTTCTGACATTCAGGAGCAAAGCCAGACCCCGTGGACTTCCTTTCCAACAATGGTGCCTTCCAGCCGAATCGCCAGATTCATTGCCTCAGAGATTTGTGTAGATAGTCTGTAACAAAACTTGTCAAAGCTTAGTATTGTCAGACATGGGAACAATTTTTGATGCTAATGTGAAACCACAGCTCAGAACGTTTGTTCTGAATTTATTTATTTATTAAATTGCTTCTGAACTTTAGGTTTGAGAGGAATATAGTGTTCTACTAAAGGTCTTTTCCTTTTCAGAAAAACAGACAACACAAATTTAGGTTTTTTTCGTTTGTTTGTTTACAGTTTTATTGTCCTGATAACTAAAGACTTTTTATATCCTTTAAGTATTTTAAGAATTGTTGATTACTGTTGTTTAATGGCATGGTTTTTGCACGCATTTGGTTTTAGTGTAGCCTGTGAAAAAAATGTTTCTCCACATTTAGTTTGAAATGTATTTATTGGTATACGTAAGGCCAACTGTGTGCTCAGTGTTCACATTTTCACTTTTTGATGTTTCATTTTTAACTTTATCTGTTTACAACTGTCTGATTTTTAAGGTCAATTAGGCTAAGGCCTACTGAATATGTAAGATGGAAATAAAGTTTCCCTTCCTTGATTTCTCACGAGTAAGTTCTTGCTTACTTTTACCTCACTCCAAAGACTTATTCCTTGTCTTGGCATTGTACCTATCAACCTGGATTATTATCCTTATTATTATTATTATTATTAGAACAATGTAGTGTGTGTGTGTGTGTGTATGTGTGTGAAAATAAATGTCAGTAAATGATCAGGATACTGTTGCTCAATCCCCCCACACACCCACGCTCACTCTTACACACACCTTAAAAAAAAAAACTTTAATGTTTTCCCTGTCTTGATGTCCCAAACCCAAGTTGCATAATTTGCATACCACACAGGCATAAACCTGCGTTAGAAACTGCATATGCTCACAAAATGTATCCAACTACAGTTGCTATGTGATTCCACACATGTAGAAATGCGTTTTCTTTTTTACTCCATGTTACTTGCACTTTTAATTTGTGTTTGAGTTAAATATGACCTGTCTTATTAGAGGCCAGCTATTTCACATTGTTCAGTGTTTGTTCTGAGTTAAAGGGCTTTCAGCAGTGAGTTGAACTTGATTAGTTAGACTTTCCCAATAGAGACTTGGATCTCTTGTGCCATCAGAATGGCCCTAATTCTCCTTCCCGTTGTGACATCCAGTGTGGTCTTCTGCTGGTGTACCCCATCTGCCTGAAGGTTAGACTTAGACTCCAATTAGGTATGCTCTTTTGCATACCTTGGTAATAAGTGGTTATTCGGGTTACTGGTCATCAGCTCAAAGCAGTCTGGCCATTCTCCTCTGAATCAGAGGAGAATGGCCACAGATCAGAGGCTCTGATCTGTGGCATCAACAAGGCTTTTTTACTCAGGGGTTTGCCACAGACTGCATATTTGTAAATGCCAAAATAGCGGCACCAACAACAACGGCACACGTAAAATCACTTAAATAACCATGTTTCCTCATTCTGATACACAGTTTGAACTTCATTTAAGGCAAACCGCAGTTTTAGGTTAACTATGTCTAAATGCAGCACTGTGACACGATAAAACTGATGCCTCACTAGAAGAAGGTTCTGAGTTCAATTCCACCACCTGGCTGGGGGTTTTTTCTGTGTGGAGTTAGGTCTGTTCACCCCGCGTTTGCATGGATTCCCTCCGGCTACTCTGGCTTCCTCCCACAATCCAAAGACATGCAGTTGGTGAATCTAAATTGCTCATAGATGTGAATGTGAATGTGAATGCGAATCGTCTCCCTCTCTCTGTGTTAGCCCTGCGCCAGGCTACTGACCTGTGTTAGCCTCGATAGCCTCCAGCCCCCCTACGACCCTGACAAAGATAAGCAGAAGAGGATGGGTAGAAGTCTAAATGCTTAAATGTATTGGGTTGGGAATTCATATAGCTAATACTACTAGCTAAATTAATAACCTCAAACATAATCCTGGGTTTCTGCAGTTTCTGAATCGTCAACATTTACAGTTATTTACAGCATCATCGTCACAACTTAATAAAAATCATTATGCATGTAGAAAACCAGTTAAAATACTAATTTTCCACTGTCAATGTGACATGGTGTCATGCTCTCTCTGTGTCCTTGCTACAAATCGTAACAGGTACAGGTGAACACTGGTGTTCATCTTTTTCACTGACTGGACACCAGCCTTCATACAACACGTAATACTTTTAAACACGCCACTGAGTTTCTCAAAACTTCTTTCCTATTGTGCTGCAATATTTATTTATTTATTTTTTTGTCAGTCTTTTTTGGGGGCTTGCCTTCCTAACCTCTGTAAAAAAAAGTGCCTGTGTTTGAATGCTGCCTGTCTTTATAGCTTCACCAATGAAGACAGCTAATCGTCCAGGCAACTCAACTTTTGAAGTCTGGATTCAACTTTTTTATTCGTTGAACATCAGGAACAAGCGCACACTATTAACACTTCTCAGGACTAATTACAGACTTCACACACACACACACGTGCATGTGGAAAGCAGACATGGAGTTAAGCTGACTTGCTGTTGCTCCTGGCTGTTGCAGTAAAACTCTCAGATGTAACTGAGAAAGCAGTTCTGCCACCCAGCCTGTCCCCTCTGCTTGCTCATGTGGAACATATGGATATATGTGTGCCAGTTAGCAAGACAAGTCAAGCGGGACCAATGCGATAAAGCTCATTAGGAACAAGGGACAGAGCAATGTATGTGTGGGCTGTTTTATTCTGTTCTAATGAAAGACCTCCTTCTTCTTCACTCTCAAACTAGAAGCCAAAAATGGCTACAAAGCTATCCTCCAAATATCCAAGTCATGTTTGATACTTTTACTGTGGTTTGAATTACTTGAGAGCTTTTTTTTTTCAGGTTTAAATAACTTAACAATAAGAATGTTTGTTTTTTGCTTTTTTCCATAAGAATTTGTTGAAATAGGCTAACAAACATGGGCATGGCTCCAGTTGTACAGTCATCCAAGAATACATGAATTTCTTTATCTGTCAAAAAGAGAAAAAAAAACAGGTCCAGCTCTGAGGAAGGTTCAGAGCGGAGGTGTCTGTATTGTCTGCTTCTTTTTTTTTTTCTCTGTTAGATAACATAATATTTTCTCTACTGCTTTGCTAAGGAGTGTAGAGTCAGTCTTGCTTCATACATTTGAATAATTGCACTAAGTTACTCAATGTACTTCCTCCAGATACCATATGAGGGTTGTCATGTGTCAGGGTGCATCTATGTCCTTGAGCCAATGTGTGAGTGAAGGTGGACAAGTATTAGTGGTGCACAGAGATGTAAAAGAACCAAATGTGTGTTTGCATGAACAAGATGGGGGACTGGGGGGGCGTGGACTACCTGCCTAGCGGCCATGTTTAACGGTCTGCTCCTCCTGTTTATGATAGGTTCTAGTCATTCACACTGGGGGAGTGTGTGCACATTAATGCCTTCAGACGGCTCTCATATGAGTGTCTGCGTAGATCAGCTCCTCTCCTCTGACAATAATGAGCCCTCTGGGTGAAAACAGGGTGGAGACAGTGGGAGAGGAGGGTCATAAAGTGCAACATATTAATGTCTACAACCTCACCCCCACCCACCCTTCCGATCCAATACAATTTCCAAGTGTCCACCAACAATCTCCCCTTAAAGAGCTTTTTTATAGCACACTTCTATTTCCATATCAGCAATTAACAGCTCCAAAGCCAAAATGACTGCTACAATTAAACAGCCACCATAACGAAGTACGCATAGCATCCAATTCCCCCTTAGCTCCCCTGCTCCTCTCTGACTCTCATAATCACGATGCCCTATTTTTCATCCAAGTGTACGCTTCCTCATCTTTGTCTATTATTATGTCCTGTGTTTGTTCCTTCCACCCTGGGGATTTATAGCCCAGGGTGTTGTTTATAATGATCTTTGGGACATCTGACCCATCCTGTTCTGAAGCTTTCATAACAAGCTTTATACCCATTATATAATAACAGGCATAAAGGCGAAAAAAGTCCAACTATTTTTTTCATATATATATGATACGTGGCTTAATGTGACAGCTCAAACAATATTATATATTAATTTCTGTACTTATTAGGCTAAACATTTGCTGTAAACAAAGATGGTGTTAAAAAGATACATAACATTTAGAATAGTAACATTGTTCTTAAGATTATTTATTGTTTGATACAAGTATCACACCTACTTCCTGGTTACACAAGCTGTGTAGTCAAGTACTAATGAAAAAAAATATACATATATAAAGTGTCCAGTCAACATAAACTTACCTTAGCTTACATTAACTACAGTGAAATGTACCAGGCATTACCACCTACTTGTGAACTTTAAACACTGCATCACAAAGAATTTTTTGTTCAGTTTCTTGCTCACCAGATGAAATTTCCCACAATCATTGTTCTAGAAGAACTCATCAGAAATGGACATTTCACTGAAAGAGCGGATCCCTCCATTTGTCATAATGAACATTAAAACATCCAATCATCCTCATTCTCACTTAAATCACATAATTAAGTCTTTCCACTATGTAAAACATTCAGCATGTCTTTATTTGATGTTTTTTTTGGCCAAAAATTAAAAAAATAAAAAAAGGTATTCAGGATTTTTCCACCAGACTTATTCAGGCTGATATGTACAAACAGCCTTTATGTGAGGAATTGTTTGTGTGTGAAAACATTTCAAACGTCCAGATGACTACAGAAATATATATTTTCCTTCCTGTCTAGGCTGATTTGAGGGAACTGCCCTCATGCAAAGGCCATTACGTCTGTCATCCAATTCATGTGATTGTATTTAATTGTAAATGTGGGCTAATAAATTTTTTTCTACTTATGGACAATGACTCTTGTATCTTTTCCTTTACCAAAGAGAATTATCCGAGGACTTTACTCCTCCTAGTGGTGGTGAGACAGAATAAGACGTACACCCTGACTTTTTTTCTTTTTTTGTGAACTGCACTTGCGCTCATCTATCACCATGAGTTTTTATGTGCCCATCAACACAGTGTAGATAGGGAATCAGCAATTAATGACTACACAATTAGAGAGAAGGCTTTAAAGAGCAATATATTTCAATTTAGGAACCATAAACTTAGTGAGTTGGTAACTAATTGTAACTGCCTCAGGAGAAATGGGAGCCCTTTGGACTGAGGTCAGGAAGACTCAAAATCAGTTTCAAACAGATTTCAAATGGCTTCTTCAGTCACTCACACATTCTGGCAAGCTGCAGCATATCTCACATGATATACGCTGAGAGGAACTTCTCAAGTTTTAATTAAAAGGCGGGCAAAGTGGCCCGCAGTTGAGTTGTTTTGAAATTCATCACAGTGAGGGTGTAGACAATGCTGTCCCCGTGAGACTTGATATCTTTGGACAAAATGACTCTCTCGCTCCATTTGTCGACATCTCTCTTTCTGTGGGTTTCTCTCCCCATGTCCCAGCATCTGGATACCTTTGGGATGGAGAGGGGAGACAAGGTCTTTCCCATCCCACTGTTCCCCCAGGGGGCATGAGTTGGTTTGTGAGCTTCTAGATCACATGATAGAGACACATCTAATCCTGTTAGACGTTAATA